TCTCTCTCTCTCTCTCTCTCTCTCCATCATATCCCGTACACTCTATCCACAGACCTCTTCTATTCGTGGGTCCCACGGGCACGGGAAAGAGCGCGTATGTGTCCAAAAAGATGATGCACGAGCTCCCACAGGATGAGTACATCGCTGTCATCCTCACCTTCTCCGCTCAGAGCAGCGCCAACCAGACACAGGTACTGTGGCGTCGGTGGCTTAGTGGTTAGGCTCTTGGACTCGCAACCGTTAGGTCGTGGGTTCGAATCCTCTCAGGGGCCCGACGTTGTGTCCTTGGGAATGGCACTTTGCACAAATTTTCCTCTCCTCACCAAGGTGGAAATGGGTACCCTGCTGTAGACAGTGACCGATCTTGTCAGTTTGATAGTGTTTGAGCGCGTGAAATTCTGCGGAAGCCGAGTATGTTTCTGAGTGTTCTCAGAGGGTCTGCTGGGGTAATAATAGTTGGAAAGCGCATAGAGCATGCTCTTGAGCATGGATATGCGCTATATAAATGCAATTATTATTATTGTTATTACCAGCGCTGAAGATTTACCCTATCCGTACGTCGTGTTTTACTATCGTATCCACACGACGTGGGGAACTCTGTGCCACCACTTAACCCTATCCGTACGTCGTGTTTTACTATCGTATCCATGCGACATGGGGAACTCTGTGCCACCACTTTCAAAGAGGAAAGTTACTCGTTAACCCGATCCGTACGCTTTGCATGCATAGCAGTCTGTCAAAATGGTGTTTTTTGAGAAATACTGAAAGTTTCAAAGAGATCTTCGCACTAGAAGTATTCTACAATGCGAAGAATGCGACCCCGGGGGTACAAAATGACCCCGGGGCGTACGGATAGGGTTAAGATGTACTGAGCCCAAAATTTAGAAATTAAGAAGGAAATTGCAGTTTCTTTATCTGTGGTATTGGTTTTGGGTATTCAAAAACAATTTTGTCAAAATTCAAACAACGACAAAACACAACTGATGGAAACATGTAAATTTTTTGCCATATCGACAGGCCGAAGGGCTAGGACTCAAATGGCCGCTGGATCGGAAAGTATTAGTAAAGTAAAGTTAGTCAAAATTCAAATTCTGAGTGTTGAAAAAACAACAACCAAGAAATGATACATAAAATAAGTACAATTGACAAAACAATGAAATAGGTTGTTTTTATCCACTGAAAAATGTTGCTTTCTGGGCTTGGAACATTTCAACAGCTTACTGCTGATATGTAAAGAAGTTCTTGATATAGAATATACGAGGGCTGTCCCACGGAAAACCGGAATTTGGCTGTAATTTGAAAACTATTCAATATTTTCACATTCTGTAAGCGCACACTTGTAAAACAATCATTTAGAAATTTCCCGATTGAGCACCATGAGCATCGCACAAACCAAACGAGCACAGCAGTTCTCAAAAGATGGCTACCCCCTTGGAAAATTGGTCAAGGGTAGAAGTGAAGTCTGTCATTCGGTTTCTGACCGCAAAAGGTCTCAAACCTCTAGAAATACACACTGAAATAAAGTCAGTTTATGGGGAGAAAGTAATGGCAAAGTCACAGGTATATGAGTGATGTAGTAAGTTCAAAGCCGGGCACTCCGATATCGATGACAAAGTTTACCCAGGATCTTGTTTTTCTGCCAAGACTGAGGACAACAAGAGTCGCGTTAACGAACTTATTCAAACAGACAGGCGCCTAAAAATTCGCAAAATTTACAAGTCGCTAAACATTTCAAAGTCGACTGTCTATAGGATAGAGTTTGATGAGCTGCACTATTGAAAGGTCTCTGCTTGATGGGTTGGGACCGAAAAAGACCAGCGGGGTCATTTTGCAGCATGGCAACACAACGCCACACACGGCAAACGTCACGACAGACTGGTTCCAAAGGTTCGGCTAGGAAGTTCTACTACACCCCCCTCACAGTCCTGACTTGGCCCTGTCAGATTATCACCTTTTTGAACCAATGAAACGCCATATTTCTGGACAGCGATTCACCGACGACGAAGACCTCGTGGAAGCCTTGAACGATTGGTTGAAATCCCTTGACGAAAAATTCTTCAGGGATGGTATATTCTCTCAGATCCAGCGATGGGAAAAATGTGTCCAGCGGGATGGTGATTATATTGAGAAATAAAGCACATGTTGAGGTATGATGTGTTACAGTTTTTTTTTTATAATAGGACAAAGATTTTTGCTTTTACGGACCTTTTCCGGTTTTCCGTGGGACAGCCCTCGTATTAGACAGTAAGAGTGGGTGGTTGGCGGGTGCTCTGGTGTGGTTTGCTTCTTCTTTCCTATCAAACATCTATCATCTTTATCTCCCCT